ACAGAGTGAGAAATTATGTGATAGAAGAAAAATGTTTTCTGCAACACGTTGTGACCAAGATTGAAAAATGAATGCTTCGGTGGTTTGCTCATTTAGAAAGAATGAATGATGAGTGACAAAACAAATTTTGTTGTTGTTGTTGTAAAACTGAGTGGCAGATTCTCATTCGTGCTTTAGCCGAAATAAAGTAACAGCGTAGCTTTACTTTTTTCAAAAAATAAAAATAAAACAAATATTAATGATTTCTTATATTGACGCGAACACTACACATTGACTAAAACTACTTTTACGGATTTTATCGCGTTTAATTTATTTTATTTTTAAGATTAATTAGAACCCGCGTAAAAGAACACATAGCTGACGTGAAGCATCAATGTTCCGGAAAGTCTGTAGTTTGTGATCATATCCTAGACGGATAGATCCACCACAAATTGTCGCGGAAGAACATCGATTTCTACCAAGAATGATCAAATGATCAAGGTTAAATTTCAATAGAGAAGGAGACTGGGTACTACCACCTGCTTGGGACCCTATAATAAATAAAATTAAAACTAAACCCAATCATACCACTGCAAGACTTCAAAACACAGTAAGTTCATTCTGCGTAGATCGGACCAAAAACAATTATAAAAAAGCTGACTCCGGGTTAACAATGACATCGGGATTTCAGTCACCTTAACCTCCCGTGACCATGGGTGCTGGAAAGCACGCGAAATGTCGGGAATTATAAATAAAATAAATTAAACGCGATAAAATCCGTAAAGGTAGTTTTAATCAAACAAAAATTAATTAAAATACAGGGACTAAAATAATTTTAGATAATTTCCTAGTAGAGTAATGGAAGGGCTCTAGTTGAGCTGAGAGGTTGCAGAGCCTAAAGCTCTTTAAGTACCTAACAAGTAAATTAGGTTTTCTGTAGCCTCCTTCCTTTGAAGTTGGTATCAGGTGTCCATGGGCTGCGGTAGTCACTTACCATCACAATGACTGTAAGTCTGTTTGTCAATTCTTCCTTGAGTTTTATAAACAAAATAATAGTAATTAACATTGAAAGAGTCGCCCCTCGTTCACATTGTTGTACATATTACTAATTAACTAGTCCAAGTAATCGAACAAATACTTAGGTCAAACCAGGTCAAATCATGTTAGTCACTTATTTCAACTGTTGAAGTTTTTTTCAAAGTATGCCTAAAAATGATGAATACAAAAAAAAATTAAAAACTGACGTAGATGTGCCATTGCAATCCGTAGGTACACCACACTCAAGGGACAACTTTCACAATTTCGATTACGCAATACTCGTATAAGGGTCCTTAACATGTGAACTTGTGCCGATTTTGTAATAATGAAGGTGTATTTATTTAAGTATATTATGCATCAGAGTGCTTAAGTAAGTTATGTTGAATATTGTTATCTTTAGGTACTTTTTTAAGGGTGACAAAAGTGGACACAATCCGCTCGATGGTAAGTGGATGCTGTGGCCTATAGACAGCTACATTTATCCTCGATTAAGAATCAAAATGCGGATGCGTTGTCTCCTTTGTAGACTAAAATATAATGCTTGGTTTCCAGTAAAAAGATTATTCGGTTCTCTAAATTAACCATACGAAACAGCAGCATTGAGAAGTTCTTTTACGCTGGTTTTCTGTGAGAGCGTGGTCCTTCCACGGTTGAGTCGACCCATTTGTACTGTAGCCATAACATAGCTGGAGCAAGTCTCTACCACGTATAAAAAGCGTGTTTGTAAGGGTGACAAACGAGCACACAGTCTACCTGATGGTAAGTAGCTGCTGTGGCCCAAAAATTTTTTTAATAGAATTTATTTTTATTTTTAAAAAGAATTAAAAGGTAGTCGATGGATGCAGGTGGCTCAGAAACGTACTTACTATGTACTTACGTTACGTAATTTACTTACTTACGTACTTTACTTACTTACTTACGTACTTGTACTTTACTTTAATTTGGAGCAAACTTTTCTTTTATAGGATAGGGTGACAAACGAGCACACATTCCACCTGATGATAAGTGGTTGCTGTGGCCCATAGACCATCCTCGATTACGAATGCAGATGCGTTGTCACCCTGAGGACTAAGGTGGAATGTTTCGTTTCCAGTAAAAAGGGTCTCCGGTTCTCTACACTCACCGTACGAAGCACAGCAGCATTAAACTACTATTTTACGCTGGTATCTGTGAGAGCGTGGTCCTTCCCCGGTCGAGCCGAGCCATTCGTGCTACAACTATACTACTAAAATAACTGCAGCATGGCTCTACCACGTATTAAAAACACTCTACATCTATCATCAATTTATAGTAGAAATTATTAAGTTGGCACCCCTGAGAACTAAGATCAAATGCCTTGTTACTAGTAAAATATGGAAATGTTGCTGTATATATTTTTTGTATTTCCGTGAATGACAATGTTACGGATTTTATTGCATTAAATTTCCGATTTTTATTTATTGCTGACATTTCAAGCGACCCGTGCCGTGGTTACTAGTGGATTTAAGTGTTTGACGGATTCACATAATTTTTGAATTTCTTAGATAATATGCAGGTTTCTTCACAATGTTTTCCTTTACCGCCGTGCATGTGAAAAATTAGTACTTATAAAATTGCAAGTAACAATTTCATTGGTGCTGACGGGAATCAAACTCTGGTTCTCGCTACTTTAAAATTTAAGGCAAGCGCATATTCATTGAGCTACAAAGTTTTTTTTAATAGGATAGGATGAAAAATGAACACACAGTCCACCTGGTGGTAAGTGGTTGCTGTGGCCCATAGACATCTATATCCATCCTCGGTTACGTATTAAAATGCAAATGCCTTGTCACCCTTGAGCACTAAGATGGAATGCCTCGTTTCCAGAAAGGGTCTCCTGTTCTCTACACTCACCATACGAAACACAGCAGCATTAAGCTATTATATTTAACAACTCTAACAATAATTGTGAATACAGGGCCACTTTATTAACTCAAAAAACCTGCCAATTAAGCTCGTTCACATTATTAGATACGGACCCTAGTGAGGTGGAAAGGATTATAATGGGACTGAAAGAAACAAGCGCGGTTGGATGGGACGGATTACCCACTAGTATATTAAAAAAATATAGACAAATTCTAGTACCACCATTAACCCATATTTTCAGAATTTGTCTCTCTGAAGGAATTTTCCCAGATTGTTTAAAAAAAGCAATTGTAGTTCCAGTATTCAAATCGGGGGACAAAAAAAACGTTTCCAATTATCGGCCTATCTCAATACTCTCATCCACGTCTAAAATATTAGAAAAATTAATTAACAACAGATTAATGAATTATTTACAAAGTAAATCCATATTATCGAATATGCAATATGGTTTCAGGCCTAAAATGTCCACTGCTGATGCTGTGCAGGAAATGACCGATTATGTCTCTCAAGAATTAGATAAAGGCAACCAATCAATTGGCATTTTCCTTGACCTTGCAAAAGCATTTGATACGGTTTCTATTCCTATCCTATTAAATAAGTTAGAGAGCATAGGTATTCGAGGTAAGCAGCTTCAACTTTTTAAGAATTATTTAGAAAATCGATATCAATGCATAAAAATCGATAAGGTTGTTAGCTCTGAACAAAAAAGTACTCATTTTGGCGTGCCACAAGGAAGTGTATTAGGGCCAACCCTATTTTTGATTTATATAAATGACCTTTGCAATCTTGAACTTAACTCAGGTAAAATAATATCTTACGCAGATGATACCGTGCTACTTTTTTCCGCAAATACAGTTGACAAGGTTTATTCATATGCTCAGCAAGGTTTTGATAGAGTTAATAAATGGCTCCAACAAAACATATTAACACTGAATACGGACAAAACCAAATATATTCATTTTTCTATGCGTAGCTCAACCCAGCATATAACCATTCCAGAACTTTATGCACATCAATGTTACTCAGTCAGAGAGTCTAAATGTTACTGCCCAGTTATTTCTAATACAAAAACTGTTAAGTACCTTGGAATAATTATAGATTCTACGTTTACATTTAAAAACCACATAAACCACCTATGCAATAGAGTTCGTAAACTAATGTTTGTTTTTAAAAAAAATTCGTTCTTTTGCTGATAATAAGGTAGTAAAACAAGTATATTACGCATTATGTCAGTCAATACTCACTTATTGTATAACCTCTTGGGGTGGAGCAGCTAAAACTACACTACTACCACTGGAACGCGCTCAAAGAGCTGTATTAAAAGTTGCAACATTCCGCCCTATTCTATTTCCATCCCATCTCTTATACAAATCCTATAATGTCCTCTCAGTGCGCCAGTTATTTGTTATGAGCATGTTACTAAAACAGCACTTAAGATTGCCTTATAGAAGAGAGGTCACTGATAAAAGGCGCAAAGATAAAGTAATTGAAACTAACATTAGAATAAGGCATTATTTCATGCATAGATTTTTTACATTTCTCGGCCCTTTTTTGTATAATCAAGTCAATGCAATTTTGTATATATATCCATTAAAAATGGCAGACTGTAAAAAAGGTAATTCGAACATGGTTACAAAATTTGTCATACGATGATACGGAGAAGTTGTTGATTGTTTTAAGTTAATTAATATCATAAGTAAATTAATGATAATATATTTTACCCAAATAACCCTTATTAGCTAGTACGTTATTCATTTTATATAAGAAACAGAAAATATTTGTTAATGTATCTTTTAGCACATACACCTGAGATACAGGTTTATCCTAGTTCAGGTGCCTGTTATTGTAGACTATTTTTAAGTTAAGACTTATTGGAATAATTTGTACATTTTATCAAAATAAAATAAATTATTATTATTAAATTATTATTATTATTATTTTACGCTGCTTATTCTGTGAGAGTGTGGTCCTTCCCCGGTCGAGCCGACCCATTCGTGCTAAAACTTACTACTAATATAACTGCAGCATGGCTCTATCACGTATAAATTATAACTTAAAATATAATAAAGTTCGATATATCCACTTATAAAAATACTCACGCAAGAGCTCATACTGCGGAAGCCATTTTACTCGCAGAATATTTCCAGTAAGTGTGCCCTCTTCTCCGCTGTTCTCATACTTCCAGATGACCCTCTGCTTCAGTTTGGAGAGTGCGTTTACTATGATATCTTCTTTGTACTTCGGTATCGTCGCTGTCTTGATCAATGACCCGAAGCTCAGCAGAATAACACCGTGTTCCGATTCATTCAGGAACCGCTCGATGTACTGCAAAAATAAACATAACAAATGATGATATCCTCTTGGCTGATTAAGTGGTGATATCAGAAGACCAGAAGCTTTCAATCGTACTGGAGATATTATAGTGTTTTTCACGCTAGCTGATCATCTTATTTGTACCGGTCAAGTAGGTAGCACTAACGGCGCTGCATTAATAAGGGTTTTGCAGTCGCACGCAACGGATCCCGCGGTCTTTGTACACTATGTGTGACACTGATAGTCGCGCGCAACGGATGCCGCGGCCTTTGTACACTGTGTGTGACACTGATAGTCGCACGCAACGGATCCCGCTGCGTGTGCTAGTGACGGGATCACCTCGCGAGACCACGGTGTGAGATCCCGGATCCCGCTTAACGCAGCGGCAGGGCCCTTGAAGTTTTATTAAATATACAGATTCATAATTAAACTAAGTAATGATTTTATTTTAAGAAGATGACGCTATTACCAGTGATTTAAGAAATTGTAAAGTGTTAAATTATATATTATAAAAGCATCTTTTAAATTAAGAGGATAATGAAGGTTGTTGCAAGCAGGTTAACATATTATGTCAATATATATATATATATATATATATATATATATATATATTTATTATAATAAATAATTCTATATATAAGTTCTATGTTTAATCTATTTATAAATTAAACATAGAACCAAAATATTATATATTATAATTTTTTCAACATGATGTTGTCATTAACTTAAAATTATAACATTATCTATGTTGAATGTCCAAAATTTCACATTAATTTATTTACAATCGGGTTGCTTGTTTCTAACCTAACAGACTAAAAATTCTAAAGCTTTCCCTGTAAATATTTTATGGCAATACAAAATTACTTATATTGAATGTCTAAAACTTCACATTATTTTATTTATTACGTTTTGTATTATTTTATGATTTGTATTCATTAATTAAGTTTTTACTGACTGTCACAAAAGTTAACATATTTTTAATTATATTTAAAAATAAAGTATACATAATGATTTCTTATATTTACGCGAACACTATACATTGATTAAAACTACTTTTACGGATTTTATCGCGTTTTATTTATATTAATTTTAATACCCGACGTTTCGGGTGCTTTCCAGCAACCATGGTCACGGGGGACTGAGGTGACTGACGTCCCGATGTCAAAGTTAACCCGGAGTACCTTCAGCTTTTTAATTATTGTCTTTGATCCGATCTAAGCAGAATGAACTAACTGTATTTTGAAGTCTTGCAGTGGTATGCTTGGGTTTTGTTTTAATTTTATTAATTATAGGATCCCAAGCAGGTGGTAGTACCCAGCCTCCTTCTCTATTGAAGCCTCGCCTCTAACTCCATAGTAAATTGAATTTTAGGGTTTATGGAATTAAGATGTTCTAAAAATGCAGTTACTTTGTCTGATGGTAAAATTGTGAAAGTATCGTCTACGTACCGCTTGTAGAACCTTGGGGTAACAGGTGTAACACAGGTCAGTCCCCCGTGACCATGGGTGCTGGAAAGCACCCGAAACGTCGGGTATTAAAATTAATATAAATAAAACGCGATAAAATCTGTAAAAGTAGTTTTAATAAAGTATACATATTAAGACATTTCTTAATACGATCATTAGGCTTTACATCGCTTCTTATTTGCACTTAAGTCGTTGGATAAAATGTAGCCTATAAGCTAATGTAAGTTACCTAGCGTTATTAACTACCCCCATATTATATTTCATGGAAATCCATAGAGAATCCATTTTGGGCGAATCGTGAATCGGAGAAAAATTCTCAAAATCACTAATTTAGCTTTAATACTTTCTATTGACGCCTAGAATTGTTATTTCAGAAAAATACAAGATTTTCAGAAAAACTTTTCTACAGATTTATTATTATGTGAGTATTATAGATACCCTTCAAGCATTTTTTCGGATATATAGTATGTATATTAGGTTGGTATATATTATTGTTTCTCATTCTATGTACCTACGATCGTGCCTTCTGATCTATGTGAAATTGAGAAGGAACCTATCCCCTTTCCCAATCTCTTATGATTGTCACAGTCGTGCTGCTAACTTTTATGCATTATAAAAACCTATTTTGTGGTAACATACAAATTGATTTGAATTTTGTTTCGACCCAGGACTACAAGTCTGAACTACTAATCTACAGAAATGTTTGCCAGATAGCGTTTTCCTTCAGAACCCCTAGTTCAGAAATTCGCCTTTCGACTATCCAATTGCTTATTTTATCACGCTTTGTCAGTTTTAAAAATTATTATGCTTGTTACATGATATTTTTCGAAGCAAATACGCATAATTTCGTAATGAGAAATGCCACCACATTTTAAAAGATTTCGCTGATTGTAATATAATTTTAGCTAAGCCACATTTTGACGATATAAAAATGTTAGTCAAGCTTTACAAGGTGAAGTTCTCGGATCGATCACTCACTTCTCAATGTGATTGATCTGGGAACTTTTCATTTTACTTTTTGTAACTAATTGCATGTCTTCTTCAACTTTCTGTAATTAATTATTGATTTGAGAACTTTATAATGTCATAAGTTTAAGTATACCTTATGTAATTGTTTTTTTTTGGTGATGAATTAACGGAGCGACATATTCATATTGTGAATAAGCTCATTAATAAAGAATTTAAAAAAAATACGCAAAAGGAGAATTAAATGGCGTCGTAAAATATTGTCAGTGACAGGCGTAGCGAAATTCGAAGACATAAATATTCGAAAATATAACTCCGATAAATAAAGCCTACACTACTTATTGTTGAAATAATAAAATCAATTCGGCATTGAGTTGGCAATATTTCGGCATTATTGAATGAGATAGACCGGCAATCATAAAAATTTACTTATCATCGTTTGATAATTTAGGTAATCAATCACTCGTTGATTAATCATAGATCCAAATTTCACCAAATTATGACGTTGAATACGAAATATCGGAGTAATTTAAAAAAACAATTTTTTTCAAATCTCAAGAACGAACCAACCGATTTCAACCGGACCGGCACCGATCGACGTGGTTTTTCAAGGTTAAAAGCTGATTAGTTTTTGGAATCGATCGGTAAAGCCGTCTAAAAGTTATCAAAAAAACAGTACGTTATTAAGTGCTTATTTACTTACGTACTTGCTGTCAAACAAAGTATAGCATCGTAGACTGTTTTGACGTTTGGTTTCATTGTATGTATTGCGTAAATACGTTAGTTTCAAATATATGAATTATAAGAATTCCGCCTGTTGGTGTAGTGTTTGTATAAGCGACTAGTCTGATCATGAGGTCAAAGAAAGTCGTCAGTCCTGCGCCTGATCTCAGTCCGGTCATGTCGGATTATCATGATCGAAATGCAGTCTGGAGAACATTATAATTATACGGTTTTAATGGATTATGAATAATAAGCTGTGCCATATATTTTATTTCGTTTTTGATAATACTCGAAAATGACTTGCAGTATTTCACACATTCATAAATTATAATATTTGAAAGATTTGTTTTTACAATGTTTTCCTTTGCCGTAAAGAACGTGATAAATCAGCACATAAAATTATAGCAAACAATACGGTTGCTGGAGTAAAACGTGATATAGTTCGTGCCAAATCGATTGAGAAAAAAGGACGATGACCTCAGATATGAGCCGAGTGTCAAATTATTGATATTATTCACACTTCTGGGTCAGCACAATGTTTTGTTTTTTGTTTCTTAAATAATATTGTCTGTGGTTCCTATAAACATCATAAAATCTTACGGTACATCGCGAAAAATGTGTTAAATTTTATATTTCAATTTATGGTAAGTAACGCAGCAGTTCATTTAATAACAGTTTCATATTAATAAAATATTTGAAGCAATATAATCACCATATTGAGCTTTTACAAATTCATCCTTTTAAAATAAACGAAACGCGCGTTACGTCAGTTCGTTCTAAAAGAAACGTGACAATGGCAGCCAGAGGTGCGTCACTTTTTATGGGCCGGCCCGCATGCACCGAACAAAAATAAAGTCCTTATATAATATTGAAAATAAAGTTTTATATTTTGAATAAGTACGTAATTATTCGGTGTCGTTATCACTCGAAACTTTATATGTGTTATAAATTAATGCTTTTATAGTTAAATGAATAAAGTAATTTATAACAATAGATAATTTTTCTTCTACAGCGATCTTTTACGTAACTTTTTAATAAAAGTAAATATATATTACAACAATCATAATAAAAAAATAAAAAAATCATTATATATAAAGAAAGTAGTAAATATAAAAAGTGCCTATATATTGAAGGTTTGTAGCCCCTGGTTAAACGACCGAAAGGTCAATGTCCGTTTTTCTCAATCGATATGGCACGAACTATAGATGTTAAATTTTAAAGCTTTTCCAGGAAATATTTTATGGCAACGTTTGGTCGTTTGGCTGTCGTTGCCTTGTTTATAGATAATGAAGATCCGAGTCGTCTACTGTGCTTCGACCTTGCAACTGAAATTAGGAACTATTTACATAGATTGTAACTAGAGATGATACAGATATCCGGTAACTATCCGGTATTCGGCCTAGCACTTAAGCTTTACACTTAAGTACTTCATTTATGTCACTATTGTACTGTAAACAAATATAGTCAGTAATTACAAAATTTTCATTGTAAAACTTACAAAATTAGTACTCGTACTGCGCTAAGGCACAGAATAAACAATAGTACTACGTAGCTAAGGGCAAATTATGGTGAATAAATACTAATTTCTCTGCATTGCAAGATAACAAGTGGTTTCGCCTATCTTCATAAGCAAGGCCAGCTTCAGAAAAAAGACTTTCGCTGTACACACTGCTGCAGGGTGCTGAAAGATAGATTGTGGCAAACTTTGATAAATTTGGGTATTGTGTAGCAATACCTGCCCAGCAAATATCGACTCGATCTCTCGATCCACTCACAATCGCGAAAAGTTTGCACTGACTTTACTTTTCGCTTCTTGCGATGCACCAAACGGCAATGTTCGGCAGAATATCCGGAGGTCAGATATTCGGCTATCCGGCGATAAGACTGGCCGAATATCCGAAACTAACTGCTATCTGTTTCATCTCTAGTTGTAACCGCACTATGAAGTAGTAAAATATATATTTACAGTTTAACCAAAATAGAAACAGGTTTGTTGACCTGATGAAATAATAAATAGATTAATTAAAGCAAAATCAGTTTTTGGTGAAAACGACAGTGACAGTGCACACGCACACACACACAAGTACCATGATTTTGGTGAGAAATATGCTCTGTGGTGTATTGATTATAAATAAATGACTGTATATTTAGGGCATTTAACCTTTACCTATTTTAAGAGTTCAATAATTGTAAAGTACTCCGACATGAGTACGAGGTATATACTTAAATTACTCTATGGATTTTTCAGCTCTATTTTATAGAAAAAACTTATTAAGATTTTCTTTATTTCTTTATTCTTTATTGTACACACAATAAGTTGGTAACAATTATTAAATATTTAAATAAATGTACAAAGGCGAGCTAAACCCTAATAAGAGTTCTCTTCCATCAAACCTATTGGGAAAGAGAAATAGTTTTATATATAAAGCAAGTAGGTAGCAGCGTGCGTACTCAATAATTAACATAACGCTACTTAATAGAAATTGGCTATAAGTTACAGTTAACAATTAACATATAAGTGTATAACATATAAGTATAATTTATTTTCTTATTCCTTTTATTCTTATTTCTATTAATTTACATACATATATACCAATAAAGATAATAAATATAAACATATATACACATATACACACACATATATATACATATATATATATACATATATATACATACACACATACATATATATACAATTATACATATAAATACATAAAATATGTAAATATTTATAATTCTAAGTTGACAGATAATATTTCTTTACTCTGCTCCGAAATATATCAAGAGAAGAGCTAGCACGTATGTCATGTGGAAGTGAGTTCCATAGCTTGACCGCCCTTACAGTAAAGGATCCCCTTACAGGAAAGGATTTTTTTAAATATTAATGGAAATAGACATACGTATGTGTTTGCCAATCATATATATTTTGTCAAAGACATTAATTGTACCATATATCAATAGTTAAAGAGAACACACACAGTACGGTACAACTACTAACATGTTCATGACTGAGACCTTAGTAGAGTATTGTTACCCAGATTGTAAATGTTAGTTTAACATTTTTCGGGGCCATCATTGTTTATCGTAAAAGTTTATCAATATTTGTAAATTTACCCAAAGATCAGGGGGCGTACGTTTCTTTCGCTCGTTGCTAAAATAATGTGTGGCAGATTTAAATCAATTTTAAACAAAAAGGAGACACTTTATTGTATTTGTTGTTCTTGTATATCATCATTATCATCAAGAAATACCACAAAGCACGATTAGTCCATCTAGCTGGCAGCCACATAACCTTTCACTTTTCGGTATGAGGGAGACTCTCGAGAACCTTTCTTCCCTATCGGTTGTTGGGCTTCGGCTTACCGTGTAGTGGCGTTAGCGATATCCACTGCCCCATATCGTCCCGTGAGTGTCGTGAGAAGCGACAGAGGGAATAATCGAGTTCTTTGATTTATTATCTCTTCTCTTCGTAAATATTGTAACTTGCATTTATCGTTCTGCAGTCTAGCGTACACGTTTGTGGTGATGGTTACAAATATTATCTATCTACCCACAGTACGTAAAAAACCCGAGTTCGATCTGCGAACCTAACCTGAACCCTGCCTGCACTAATGAAATTGTTAATTGCAGTTTTAAGTGTTGATGTACCAATTGTTTGGCGGTGAAGGAAAACGTAGTGAGGAAACCGGTATCTGTGAGAAATTAAAAAATATTCAGCAGACATGTAAAATACGACAACACGTATTGGGACAACGCGGCGGACACTTCCTTGTCCTAAATACTTCTCAGAAATAAGACGCTTGTTTTTTATAGTATAAGGGTGGCAAAGAGCACACGGTCCACCTGATTGTAAGTGGTTACTGTGACCCATAGGTATCTACATTTATCCTCGATAATGAATCAAAATGCAGATGCGTTGTCGCCCATGAGGACTAAGATGGAATGCCTTGTTTCCAGTAAAATGGGTCTTTAGTTCTCTACACTCACCAAAACACAGCAGCGTTAAGCTGCTATTTGACGCTGGTATTCTGTGAGACCGTGGTCTTTCCCGGTCGAGCCGACCCATTCGTGTTACAACTATGCCAGTAACATACCTGCAGCATGGCTCTTTGCGTAGTAGAGCCATGCTGCAGCTGTGTTACTGGCATAGTTGTAACACGAATGAAATGAACGAATGAAAATGAGTGAAATATGGAATATCACCAGCTCAAGGTAACATCTAGATTGTCATTTGGAAAGTAAGATTAAAAACTTCATCAATTCGTAAATATAACCTATTATTTAAAAGAGAAACCATTGAATTTTTTTTACAGTTACGAAGATATATGATATTAGTCAAATTTGAGTTAAGAATCTCCTCCTGAATCTCCTCCTTTTAAGAAGACGACTAGAAAACATTTTGTCACACACGGCAAAGGCCTTCTTTCATTTCAGTAATCGATTAGTCCACAACACCGCTCCAGAAATGATAAAGTGTAGGTGTAAGAATATCCCCTACACCCTATCATCCCGTGGGTGTCGTAATAGGCGACAGAGGGAAACAAATCAGGAGATGGACGGCAGCGTCTTCATAATAACGACTAAAAAAAACTGCGTATGTCAACCCACTTGCCAAGCGTGGAAACTGAGGAAAATATTCCCTTATGAGACAATCTATGAGCTCAGACTCTCAACAATCTCTCTCCAACAAATCCTCAAGCTGAGGCTCTCAACTGCTCCAGAAATGTTGACGGACTTTTAATCACTTCGAAATAATTCATTCCTCAGAAGGTTACACGCGATGTTCTTTAACAACGGGCACGTGTTAAAATAGGACTTATAATTACAATTAATAATATCATTGTTGCCGGCGGGAATCGAACTCGGGGTGTTCGCCTACTGAAAATCTACAGCGAGCGCTTTGACGAAACTCGACACAGGTCTATTTTGAAATTCATAAGATTAAAAATAACTCACGTGGGGTAAAGCTTCTCGGGAATGATCCAAATGCATGCCGCCGACTTCTACCAAGGCCGGGACCATTGGTCGAATGCCGTTCAGAGTATGAAAAGTATTGACCAGCGCTAACGAACAGTTTTTCGCCAAAATTCGTAAATCTGGTATATTCCTTTTAAAGTGCTTCTCTATAATAGAACGTTCTTTCGCTTGCACCATATAATAAAAACTTGTTTTAGATAATATGTTTAGGAACGTGTTTTCTAAGCGTTAGGTAAAGGTCATGCTGGAAGTGAAGCTGGATCGAGTAAGCGGAACGTAGGCTGGGTTGTCGGGCAATCCTATTCTCTCCGCTGTCCATGGCAGTATATTACAAGAAGATAATGCAACTTTAGGCGCTATGTTTCCGTAAACATGCTCTTTTCAACGCGTCAGCCAAAGGTGAAAAGATCTTCAATCTTTCGCATATACTCACAGCCATGTCGACTAAGGGTTGCATTTCGGACAAATATCTCGTAATTCCATTTAGCACGGGAATCTTGGACAATATACCTGAAGTTTCAAACATGGATAAATTTATAGTCTCCAATTTTATTTCAGAAATGCCTTCGAGACTTATATGAGTGTAATTTTCTATTGGATTTTTAAGGGGAAAGAACGATATTGTGGTAACATGATGTCCCCGTTCTGCTAGGGTTCGTAGAAAGGGCTCGAAAAACATTTGATGGCGTCTACCGGCATGGGGAAAGAGGAAAAGTACTCTCGCAGAATGGACACCATTAGAAAATGCACACAGTAATAGAACTGATAGAATGATTTTCAGCCGCATTGCCTACGCGCTACCCGTTCCGTGTTTTCAGGAATACTGTCGCGTGAGATGATCTCGTGTGGGCCACACTTTAGAATTTGAGACGTGTAGGGTCGAGGTCGCACTGGAGAGTTTACATTTTTAATTATTGTATTATATAACTTCACGCATTATTTTCATGACACTTATATAACTGAATAGACTGAACTGATAATATTTTATCTTTCGTGACTTACTTCCCTTTATTCGGGGTTTTTTTAAAGATTTTATTTGATTCTTTTTCGATTACAATCTTTTTCCGTCGTGGGATTTATTCAAATTTTTATTTTTGCTTTTTATTTTAGACTTTTTAGAGAATTCCTACGTTATCGTGTAAAAGCTACGAAACCAAGAGCCACTGGATTATACAATGAAATTATCAATAACAGAAGGAGCTAAATCGGTAGAACCGTTTTCTAGACAAATGAGAACATTCTTTTGCATTATCTTTTATTGCAGCGCCCCCTGGTAAGTTAACATCATAACACCTATCTAAGAACCATCGTAGATAAGTCACAAACCCTTTACAAACAAGGTATCTAAATGAGTTCACCCGTTTTTGAGATAAATGGAAATATTCGTTTGTTGGGAGCACTATGCTCGAAGTTGTTGACGAGTATGTTCACCTGGGACAAATAGTCCGACTAGGTAAGTCCAACTTTGACCGAGAGGTCAATAGACGGATTCAACTCGGCTGGGCAGCGTTCGGGAAATTACGACACATCTTCTCGTCAGGTATACCTCAATCTCTGAAAACTAAAGCGTATAACCAGTGCGTGTTGCCAGTGATGACTTACGGATCTGAGACGTGGTCCTTCACTGCTGGCCGTATGAGGACGCTCAAGGTCGCTCAGCGAGCTATGGAGAGGGCTATGCTCGGAGTTTCACTGCGTGATAGACTCAGAAATGAGGATATCCGCAGTAAAACCAGAGTGACCGACATAGCCCAACGGATTAGTAAGCTGAAGTGGCAATGGGCCGGCCATATAGCTCGAAGAACCGATAACCGATGGGGAAGAAAGGTTCTCGAGTTGCAGCCTCGTACCGGTAGGCGTAGTGTAGGGCGACCCCCCACTAGATGGAGTGACGACCTGGTAAGACATGCAGGAAGTCGATGGATGCAGGTGGCTCAGGACCGTGCTTTGTGGCATTACTTGGGGGAGGCCTATGTTCAGCAGTGGACTTGTTAAGGGCTGTAATGATGATGATGATGATGATTCGTTTGCACACACAAACAAATAAACAAACAACCTCTCACCCTAAACGCATAATATACCTTCTCCGTTCTGACGCGGGTAAAAAAGTTTTAAAACAGTTTTTAGGGTAATAATTATAGTATATTTTGATGTTATGTAAATAAAACTTCTACTTAAGTATGATAAATAACCATATTTAAAATATTCAGTACGTATGCACAATAGATAGCGTCATCCGTTCCTTATTTGTTTTCTTTGTGTGCAGTTATATTGTCGGGCAGTACGTTTATACCGCAAAAGTTCAAAATTGAATTCGCAGTCGTAAGCGGCATTAGCAAGAGCCATAGACATCATAAGGAACGCGAAAGACCTATTGGTACATATAACACGATACTATTTGGAATGAAATAAAATACTGTATTCCATAGGCCGAGATCTAAGTTTATGACCCTATTATTAGATACTCGTGTTGTCCCACAATTTTTAAAACATAATAGTTTATACTTGCACTTCTCATTTCACAGTACGTTTTTTTTTACATACCTTTGTAATTTTCATTGGACTCCCATGGCGCATGAAAACGATTCTTTGAAATCTATCTCCTCCGTAACCTGTATGCCAATTTACATAATTTTTTCGGCAATATTTGTAATTCAACGCAGATTCGCGTAGTGTATATTTTCTTTGACGCAGACAAGGTTTGTAAACGATAAAAATCTGAATTTGATATTTTTTCTTTTACTATCTAATCAATTCGCTAATTTACATCTGCGCAATGTCACACCATTTGATTGAATATTTTGTTGCAATAAAGATAGTTATGACTTTAGACTTTTATTCCGCTCCGTTTATGATGTTAGCAAAAGGTTTTACCTTTATATTTGCATCAGCCCTATTTATTTATGAACTTAATTTTGACATGGTTCACGACACAGAACACTATCTAATATTGTATTAGCTACTGATCTGTGTCAAAAAGCTTTTCTCCTTTTCTCCGTATAAAATGGTCGTTTGATCGTTGAAATTGTTATATATCGAGCGATAGCGACCGCTTACTATAATAAACATAAATCAGTGGTACCTTGTTATATCTTATACGCCAACTTTCGTTATGGTACATCGCTAGACTACGACTACGACATTTTCTACCACCAGGGTGGCGTCACTTAGAAATGAGGTGACATGATTGACAGATGAGGTGATAGATGTTTGACAGATTTCATGGCGAGAAAGTTATTTTTTTTTTTTCGGAAAATATGAAGGTTATATTTTTAGGAAAATATAACAATAGATATTTTTTGTGTAATTTATTTAATGAATAAACCAAAATATGGATACTCCTAAATCTAGATAAATTAAAGAAGAGTTAAAAAATGTGCAAAATGTTGAAGCGCAAACCACTGAGGCATTGCTTAGTAAATTTACACACTGTAGAAATCGATGAATTTTTACTCAAAACGTAAATTCTCAACAATGACATTGTGTAGCAAATAAGTTTACCTCACTCTTAAACTAGCGACATCTGATGAGCGTTAAATCATTAGCCCTCATTACGATAGCTAGTCTGTAAATGTCAAAGTGAGAGTCAAAAATTCTCATCCACCCTACAGCAACAGAGTAATTACCTATTGTGTAGTGGCAAAGTTTTTTTTTTTTGGTGATCGTTCCAAGCCAAATCTTCGTTTGCCCGTTGTAATATTTGGCCGTGACTGCCTCGTTTACTTAAACTTCGAAATGGTCTACGAGCATTAAGATTGATCGCAGTCACCTCCTTACCGTTTGATCGCTCATCAGGACCTAGTATTCCGACGGCAACTTCAAAGTTTCAATTCCCAATACCTTTTTAATTGTAAAATGTAATTTGTAAAATTTGAACTTGTCTTGCACTGATAACCCATGACTATTATCAGTGTGCCGTGGAGACATCACGCCAGTATCGCAACAGTTAGACCACAATCTTTTAAGATAATGTAACGCGTTGACTTGTGAGTAACGGGAAGACGGTACTACGGTAGCTGAAATTTCTGTCAGTTTCGGCAGTATTCAGGTTCTCGATTATTTTTTTATTCAATGATTAAAAACTATTGAAATTGCTTCTTAATTTCTGCCGTATGGACTACATACGATTTAAGCGACAATAGCCTAATGGCAGGGCCCCGACCGCGAACTCAAAAAGGTCGTGGGTTCGAATCCGCCATTCGACTACTGGCGTGAACCACTCGTAACACAAGCAATTTAAGCTTACCACGAGTGGTTAAGGGGAATATTAGTAATGTTTATAGTATTGTTAATATTATTTTTTTTTAAAATACGTATGGTAGCAGTAGGTACCGTACGAAGCTATCAAAGATGTGAATGCTCTTCATATATTGCTCGTCACAAAATTGAATTATTTTGGATAATTTAGCATTACTTTAGAATTAGAATTATCGACAAACGATATACACAACAACACAAGAACACTCTTACAGAATACCATCATAAAATAGCAGCTTAATGTTGCTGTGTTTCGTATGGTGAGTGTAGAGAACTGGAGACCCGTTTTACTAGAGTCGAGGCATTCCATCTTAGTCCTCAAGGGTGACAACGCATCTGCATTTTGATTCTTTATCGAGGATAAATGTAGATGTGTACGGGCCACAGCATCCACTTACTATCAAGTGAACTGTGTGCTCGTTTGTTATAATGATAAAAAAGAACGGGGTCTGTCCGCGTACTAAACGTATTGACTGTACATCCACAACTTAATATTTTAATGTTTTTCCTCAATTTACTTCATAGGAAATAATTGTACTATTTTCTTATCTCGTTTCAATAGCTGATATCTTTAATAACTTTATCAAATCATCCATGTGATCGACCGTGACTAGAGCTAGCCTCACTTATACATAATATGAAAATGAATATTTCTTTGAACCGTATGCGTTTCTATTCCTATAGCATTTATCCGATTACGACGAAAACTTTGATAAGTATTTTGGTTTTGTATTAAGTTGGTAAATATTTGTTTGTTTGTTGATTTTTATGTTCTGGTCTAAAAAGGTCCAAAGTCACCTGGGTACTTTACACATCCATCGACTTTCTGCATGCCTTACCTTATACGCAAGCCCGGTTACTAAAAAAATAAATATTTGTTTGTTTGTTGATTTTTATGTTTACACTTTTAATTCTAATGT